TGTATATATATATATATGTGTGTGTGTGTATATATATATATATGTGTGTGTGTGTATATATATATATATATATATTATATATATACATATTAGTTAATACAATTAATTGCATTTTTAGATGAAATATTTTTAATAATATATAACTGTAAAAATGACATATCATCTAGGTGTTTGTCAAAATAGAATTTCAGGCATGCATGTTTAGTAGTTTTTTTGTAGTTCTGTTGTTTAACTTTTTCTTTAAAGGTTTTATGCCCTGCAAAATACTCAGAAAATCTTACAAACAGTGACAACATACTTCTTGGACAAAATGGATGCAGTGTTCACTAGAACTGTTGAGTATAAGCTATATGGCTTATAATATAAATGACATTAGAATTTTCTATTGAAGCTAGTTATATTAAATAGTGTGTTATAATTTAATCTGAAGTATAAACTTTAAGTTTAGTGCAAGAGAGTTCACTGCTTCTTTAACCCTTTGGTTTCCATTTTAATTAATCTGCTTATATTGAAACTCAACAGACAGATACCATGGATCTTCCTGTGCATCTTTTTTAAGCTATTCAACAAATGGTCTTGCTAAAAAATTTTCATTTTAATTATTGCCATAAAAACTTTGGCCTTTGTTTATTTGAAATTTGATAAATTTATTTCTTTTCCCTTTGCCTTTGTACCTTAAGACATGAAACGTTTCGTTTATGTTTTCAAAAATGCGAATGCCTAAAATGAAGCCATCATATATTTTGAGGACATACTATTTTAAATTGAAAGCTTTATAATCAGAGAAATGTTAATGAAATTTAACTATTAAGTTTTTGAAGAGTGGTAATTTACATAAAAACAACATTAACGAATTCAGGAAATTTTGCACAGTTGCTATTAAACCTTTCTGCTTACTGTACTTTCAGATATCACACATTAGTAGGGAGTTCATTGATTGTGCTAGCTTCACAAATTTAGCTTTTCTGTGGTCTTTCTTTTTGCTTTCCAATTAATTTGTAGGCTTGAAGATAAAAGCTGGGAGAGAGGCAATATCTCTCTCAATACCAGTTGCTGGGAAACTGATTTAGGAGGACCCAGTTGCACCCAGCTTCTGCTTTTGTGATCCTCATTGGCATCAGTGTGGCTACTGTAAGAAAAGAATGCAGGATCCCTCACCTCTCATACTTTCTGCTTAATTGGGTATGGCCATCTTTAGTCCCAAATGCCATTCTTTATGGCTCCAACTCTTATCTCTTAAATGTGGGAACATTTAAAGATGCTGCAGACAGTAAAGTCCTCTATCACTGTGTTCCTTATTCTTTCTCTATATAGGTTCCGGTATGCCAATTTTTCCAGCCTGTTCTTCTGAACCATGACATACAGAGCAGTTCCCTCCGTTGTGAATTGTCACCAGAGTGAAATCTTTGTCTGGTACTAGCACTGATTTCACTAAGGAAAAAGGAGGATAGACTAAAATTAAATGGAGTCCAAGGCATGAGGTATACATAAGAGATGCAGAAAGAAAAGAATCTGTTGTGGAGTACAGAGATAAATAATGTGCATTTGCAGTCTGGAGAAAGATGGAGAAGAAAGAGGTGGAGGTAATGCAGTATGATTTATGCAGCCAGGAGATATAGCGTGCTTCTGTGCATTCTTGGTTTCAGTTTTCAAATACATTTCAGAACAAAAAGTAAGCTTTATTTTTCTTACTTTTGTAATTTGCAGTTTAATTTTTTTTTGGCAGCACATTTTATATTAGGAACTGGATTTTTCTGCAGGGTTTCACCAACATACATGAGAATTTGGCAGCAATAACAGATGGAAGGACTGAGAAATCTGTAGGGCAGAGAGAAGGAGAATATCCTCTGAGAAGGGGCTTTTTTCTTTTGCCCCACGCCAGAAGAGCTGACTGCTGACAGGAGACCCCAGAGAGGAAAATAAGTGGCAATTGGGGCAGCTGAATGAAAAGGACTTTGCGTTCTCTCCCTTCACTGGGCTGTACACTACACATCAAGGGAGGCCTGTTGGTTAACAGTTTAAAAATTCACCATATTCTCTCATTTTCAATGTTTAAAACTGTTGTTCAAAACTAGAAAAGGGAGAAAATCCTTGAATGCACAGCTGTCACTTTGGCTGTGTCCCAGCTGGTAAGATGGAAAAAAAACCCTTTCCTTTATAGGAAATTTTAGACTGATACAGGATTTTTTAAGTATGTGTAACATGTTCATTGCTGCCACACAGGTCAAATCCCAGGCATTAACTGGATGTCTGAAGATTGTGCGAGGGCCTTTCCTCTTAGTGACTTGTGAGGACAAGGTTGCTAAAAGCCTTAGAGGTTTCTCATCACCTTTCCTTTTCTAATAATAATATATATTATTATTGTATTAGTTATTGACCCAAGGAAGTAAGAGCAGATAGTTTGCTTAATTTTTAAAATACTGCAATGCTTCTATGGAGTGACTTCATGTTGGCGTGAACAAAGGGCCCTTCCTCAGAGTGTGGGTATGCAGCCATGTCCTTTGGAAGGTTCGGTTTGGCTACTTCAAGGGCTTCTTGGGTTGTCTCTGCGTGTGTGTGAGACACAGCTGCTGTGCTTCACCATCAGTTCACCAGAAGTGTTACTGGTGCTTGCACACACACACACACACACGCCTAGAAAAGCTCACAGAGCAGTTGCATTCAGCTTTCTAAAGGCTGTGGCTGTCTCAACATAATGAGGAAGACCTCTATGCTTGTATCAGTATGTTTTTCAAAGGGCTGCTTCTTATGAATTAAATAGCCCTCATTTTACAGAAGCATTTTGTGTTGGAACATGGCCACCAGCCTTATACATATTCTACCAGATTTTTAAGTTTGCTATGTAGTGGAAACCCGCCAGCAATGAATACTGCTTGCCTGACGACATTTTGCCTCAGGCACCAAGTTATTTGCAGGTCTAATAAATAACAATGTTTACAAACTAGATTCATAAAAGAATATTATCGCAAGTACAAAAACACTGTAATCTTGAATATGTAGAAGAGCTAAGGCAGGAGATTCAGTTATTCTAATTGTACTCAATTAAATTTTTGATCATGGAGTTCAAAAATTGTATCTTCTGTATGCGTTCTTTCTGGGCTCTGACCACTGGCAACACCTTGGAAGCCAAGCAGTTTAGTTTTCTTAAACTCTGTGCTATGTAGATATACAACAATACCTCTTAGAAAGCATTTACCTGGAACATCTGGTAATCAGCAGCTATATGTACATTGCAAGCATGGACATCTAAAATTAAAAATGCTTTAAAAATGTGATATCTGAAAGTATGTCTGGCAAAGTATTAGAATGTTCAGATTTTGGAGTGTTCACTTCCTCCTCCTCAATTTCAAATTTGAAATGTTTTGCACACTACTGTTCAAAACAAGAAGAATCCACTGGAGTGGATTTATTAAAATTTATTGCAGCCAATAAATTTTAATAAATAATGATAATAACAACATGTCAGGAGATACTGTATATAAATGACACTAGTGTATGTCATAATAAATTGTTAGCATTTGTCCTGACTTTCAAAGTATTTTGTCATTCTGCATGAGGGGAGTAATTAAATAAGCACTCTTAAAACTTGAGGATCAATAGTGATAACCAATAATTGCGGATATGCAGGTTGGATCGTTCTAGCTTTCATACTGAGATAGAAATATCCTCATTATTTGCCTATGTGGGAATTGGCAATTTAGGCATCCATTTTGAAAACTGGAGATAGTAAGTTTGTCATATTGTACAATATGATAAGCAAATCTGAAAAATAAAATATGTTGATAGTACAAACTGCAAATCCCATGCTTTCTTATTAATTTGGTGGTTCTTACCACAAAGCGTTCCATAAAGTCAATAAGAGTGAACAGTATAGAAATATCACTAATATACTATGCTAATTGAACCCCTGCATTCTGTTTGACCTTGGCTTACTGTGGAACTCTTATTTTGCTACAGTAAGAATACTAGCTTTTAAAAATAAAGAAGTGACAAGGTGCATTTTCAACTCTTCATGTTATATAAATCTGACACATTGGGATCATTGATAAAATGAGATAATCCATATATATTTTGCCTTGAATGCTTTCAAGGAACATGTATCTAAAGTTTAAGTAAAGATATTTTTCATCTTTAGACATGAAAAATATTGTTTTAACTTGTGAACGTTTTGCTACCTATAATGCTTATATAGTATAATATTTAAAACATTATTACCATTTAATTGAAAAGGCTCTTAATTTTCAGTACCTTCCTTTATACTTTTATTTTATTCCTATAAAAAGGATGACCTTGCTGTTCTGAAATAAAGCAAATAAAAGTAATGTAAGTCAAGATGCTTTGTTTCCCCAATACTTAAGTTGGATTTCAGAGTTATGCATACTTTAATAGAAAGCAATGTTAAATAAACCACAGTGGAAAATATTTTGATGTGTTTGTGGTA